CAAAATTTATATCATGTAGACGTACACCATACGTCTCTGTAGAAGTACATTATTGAACATGATACGTACGGAAAACGTATATAGCGCGGTTTCCGAATTCTAACATGATAGTAATAAGACCAATGTGAGGTCATACCCATCAGATTTTCACAAATGTCTCACTTTTCAAAGTAGGTACTTTTAAGAGTACATAATAGCAGTTGAAATAACAAATACCACTCCACATACAACCAATTTGGGCTATTTTGAAAGTCTCTTAACATAAATATAGAAACAACCAAATGATGAAACATTGATACACACACTCAGGTTAGAATTTACTTCTTGACCAGTGCAACTTCACTGGCCGTAATAAGAACACTAGTTGAGATAACAACTTTTCCGGAATAGTTTCAACACAGACCAACCCTTTTGTTTGGTTTCAAGGGGTTGGTTTGGACGCACACACAGTACATACATATACCAACATCTCCAGATTAAATTCAAGAGATATCTATTATTTTATTTGATTTTCGGGGGGTGGCGCGGACGCACACTCCCCCACACATATAAATTACGTACTCGAGTCTCCCCCATTTGGGGAGATCGCAGAGGTCAGCCAAACCAAGGTGCAATGGAAAGGCCTCACCCTGGGAGAACCGATGCTGAGAACGGCAACCTCCCGTACCAGGTAAGTATGCTAGCTTACATTTTCAACACACTACTTCTTCTGGTAGGGGGTCTCACTCAACTGAGGTGACTTCAGCGACTTATCACAGATTGTTTAGAAACTACAGGTATTAACTATCCAGTACCACCAACAAGGCTTTCTGTAACAGTAACCCTTCTTATTTTGGTCCATATTATTTACTTTATTTCCTTCGAATTATCATACAGATAGATACTTTTTAAACTAAACCTATCTGAGAGAGGCAAAATTTATATCATGTAGACGTACACCATACGTCTCTGTAGAAGTACATTATTTAACATGATACGTACGGAAAACGTATATAGCGCGGTTTCCGAATTCTAACATGATAGTAATAAGACCAATGTGAGGTCATACCCATCAGATTTTCACAAATGTCTAACTTTTCAAAGTAGGTACTTTTAAGAGTACATAATAGCAGTTGAAATAACAAATACCACTCCACATCCAACCAATTTGGGCTATTTTGAAAGTGTCTTAACATAAATATAGAAACAACCAATTGATGAAACATTGATACACACACTCAGGTTAGAATTTACAGCTTGACCAGTGCAACTTCACTGGCCGTAATAAGAACACTAGTTGAGATAACAACTTTTCCGGAATAGTTTCAACACAGACCAACCTTTTCGTTTGGTTTCCAGGGGTTGGTTTGGACGCACACACAGTACATACATATACCAACATCTCCAGATTAAATTCAACAGATATCTATTATTTGGTTTGATTTTCGGGGGGTGGCGCGGACGCACACTCCCCCACACATATAAATTACGTACTCGAGTCTCCCCCATTTGGGGAGATCGCAGAGGTCAGCCAAACCAAGGTGCAATGGAAAGGCCTCACCCTGGGAGAACCGATGCTGAGAACGGCAACCTCCCGTACCAGGTAAGTATGCTAGCTTACATTTTCAACACACTACTTCTTCTGGTAGGGGGTCTCACTCAACTGAGGTGACTTCAGCGACTTATCACAGATTGTTTAGAAACTACAGGTATTAACTATCCGGTACCACCAACAAGGCTTTCTGTAATAGTAACCCTTCTTATTTTGGTCCATATTATTTACTTTATTTCCTTCGAATTATCATACAGATAGATACTTTTTAAGCTGAACCGCCTCTGAGAGAGGCAAAATTTATATCATGTAGACGTACACCATACGTCTCTGTAGAAGTACATTATTTAACATGATACGTACGGAAAACGTATATGGCGCGGTTTCCGAATTCTAACATGATAGTAATAAGACCAATGTGAGGTCATACCCATCAGATTTTCACAAATGTCTAACTTTTCAAAGTAGGTACTTTCAAGAGTACATAATAGCAGTTGAAATAACAAATACCACTCCACATACAACCAATTTGGGCTATTTTGAAAGTGTCTTAACATAAATATAGAAACAACCAAATGATGAAACATTGATACACACACTCAGTTTAGCATTAACAGCTTGACCAGTGCAACTTCACTGGCCGTATTAAGAACACTAGTTGAGAAAACAACTTTTCCGGAATAGTTTCAACACAGACCAACCCTTTCGTTTGGTTTCCAGGGGTTGGTTTGGACGCACACACAGTTCATACATATACCAACATCTCCAGATTAAATTCAAGAGATATCTATTATTTGGTTTGATTTTCGGGGGGTGGCGCGGACGCACACTCCCCCACACATATAAATTACGTACTCGAGTCTCCCCCATTTGGGGAGATCGCAGAGGTCAGCAAAACCAAGGTGCAATGGAAAGGCCTCACCCTGGGAGAACCGATGCTGAGAACGGCAACCTCCCGTACCAGGTAAGTATGCTAGCTTACATTTTCAACACACTACTTCTTCTGGTAGGTGGTCTCACTCAACTGAGGTGACCTCAGCGACTTATCACAGATTGTTTAGAAACTACAGGTATTAACTATCCAGTACCACCAACAAGGATTTCTGTAACAGTAACCCTTCTTATTTTGGTCCATATTATTTACGTTATTTCCTTCGAATTATCATACAGATAGATACTTTTTAAGCTGAACCTATCTGAGAGAGGCAAAATTTATATCATGTAGACGTACACCATACGTCTCTGTAGAAGTACATTATTTAACATGATACGTACGGAAAACGTATATAGCGCGGTTTTCGAATTCTCACATGATAGTAATAAGACCAATGTGAGGTCATATCCATCAGATTTTCACAAATGTCTAACTTTTCAAAGTAGGTACTTTTAAGAGTACATAATAGCAGTTGAAATAACAAATACCACTCCACATACAACCAATTTGGGCTATTTTGAAAGTCTCTTAACATAAATATAGAAACAACCAAATGATGAAACATTGATACACACACTCAGGTTAGCATTAACAGCTTGACCAGTGCAACTTCACTGGCCGTAATAAGAACACTAGTTGAGATAACAACTTTTCCGGAATAGTTTCAACACAGACCAACCCTTTCGTTTGGTTTCCAGTGGTTGGTTTGGACGCACACACAGTACATACATATACCAACATCTCCAGATTAAATTCAACAGATATCTATTATTTGGTTTGATTTTCGGGGGGTGGCGCGGACGCACACTCCCCCACACATATAAATTACGTACTCGAGTCTCCCCCATTTGGGGAGATCGCAGAGGTCAGCCAAACCAAGGTGCAATGGAAAGGCCTCACCCTGGGAGAACCGATGCTGAGAACGGCAACCTCCCGTACCAGGTAAGTATGCTAGCTTACATTTTCAACACACTACTTCTTCTGGTAGGGGGTCTCACTCAAATGAGGTGACTACAGCGACTTATCACAGATTGTTTAGAAACTACAGGTATTAACTATCCAGTACCACCAACAAGGCTTTCTGTAACAGTAACCCTTCTTATTTTGGTCTATATTATTTACTTTATTTTCTTTGAATTATCATACAGATAGATACTTTTTAAGCTGAACCTATCTAAGAGAGGCAAAATTTATATCATGTAGACGTACACCATACGTCTCTGTAGAAGTACATTATTTAACATGATACGTACGGAAAACGTATATAGCGCGGTTTTCGAATTCTCACATGATAGTAATAAGACCAATGTGAGGTCATACCCATCAGATTTTCACAAATGTCTAACTTTTCAAAGTAGGTACTTTTAAGAGTACATAATAGCAGTTGAAATAACAAATACCACTCCACATACAACCAATTTGGGCTATTTTGAAAGTGTCTTAACATAAATATAGAAACAACCAAATGATGAAACATTGATACACACACTCAGGTTAGCATTAACAGCTTGACCAGTGCAACTTCACTGGCCGTATTAAGAACTCTAGTTGAGATAACAACTTTTCCGGAATAGTTTCAACACAGGCCAAATCTTTCGTTCGGTTCACTGGGTTTGATGCAGAAGAACATACATACCAATATTTTCGGAATAAACATACGAGATAAGAACTAGATGATGGCGGTGACGCACCCTTCCCTCAACATATAAGTTACCTGCTCGAATCTCCCCAATTTGGGAGATTCGTTTTCTTTGATAGATCAATTTAGATCACCACAGATGTATTTGCCTAGGATTTACATAGAGAATATACATAATCGCTTCACATGAAATTGTAGGATGATCGTTGCCTCAACATATGCCCTTCACATTGCCACAGTACTGTATTACTATCAGACCGCACTTGGACTACACACAGTACGTATTTTCAAATATTTTCAACTACAGAATATTTTGTCAAAGTGTAAAAGTAGGGATGAGTTTTAAGTAGGGGAATATCCTCGTAACTCTCCATTCCTTAAAAATAATGGGCCTCGGCCCCTGCGGGGCCTCTGCTCCATTATTTTTAAGGAATGGAGAGTTACTCGGACATTCCCCTCTACAGAAAAATTCAAATGCTGATTCAAGATAATGTACAGTTGACAAGCAACTCTCCATTCCTGAAAAATAATGGAGCGTTCAAACAATAGAATGACGTCACAGATGTGTTTTAATATCACATCCGGGGATTGTTCTACTGTCACGAAATGTTTCAGTGTGAGATAGGCTGCATTATCAATACAATATTACTCACGCGATTTTCTGTTATAGTTTTCATAAGGACTATCGCTGTTTTGTGTCACTTCATTACGTTCATCGACACTTGCCGTTGTTATTCTATTAAACGAGTCTCTGTGAGAAGCTATGTAACAAGAAATATACGTACAACACACGTACGTGTTTTCGATACACGCCGTACGTGCGGAATACGTACAACATTCGAACGTGTATATGTCCGAATCAGATCTATTAACAGACAACGGGAAGATGACAAAACTATGTGACAAAATCGTTTTAATTTTCAAAACCTGAAATTGATGACAAAGACACAGGTTTATAGATAACAACTTCTTTATTATACTGTAAAAGCATTATTTCGGCTACAGATCGTTATACCGTTGTCGCGCAAGACTAAACATGAAACATGGTACAGAATTACATATTGAAGGTGAAACATTAAAAGTAACAATTACCATACATGTGAAGAATAACATGAGTATGTAAACAAATAACAATATTGGTTTTTTTTAGTCATACATAAACACGAATATACATAACACACAGGTCATCCAAATATACGAAAACGTGTGTGAAAACCTACTGAAATAAAACAATTCTACATGAACTAACTTTCTACCCTCCCCGCTAACTTCTTTCCTATTATCCAGGTTTAGCTGGGTTTTCTGTTCTTGAATTGAGTTTTTCAGGGGTTAGCGCGGACGCAGACCCCCACACATATAAATTACGTACTCGAGTCACCCGCATTTGGGGTGATCGCAGGGGTCAGCCAAACCGAGGTGCAATGGAAAGGCCTCGCCCTGGGAGGACCGCCTTGCGGATCACGGTAACCTCCCGTACCAGGTAAGTATGCTTGACCGAAGCCACAATTTAGTACTAATACTTGGTTGGATTATACTCACTTGAGGTGTTACGGCAAATATATTGAATCCTGTATAAACAGCATAGAGAGAAGTGAAAAACATAATTTACGTAATTAAATATATAAAATAGCTGTGAATTTTGTGGTATTTAACGTTTTAAATACCACTCTTCAATGTGCGTATTAATCCTGTTTCTATAGAAACATAACAGATATTCTTGTAAAGACACGGCGTACGTATTCTGTCTTATCTCCGCACAGGGATGCGAGGGGGAAACATTCGGAGAGGGATACGCGAATCCATGAAGCTGACATCCGATATTCATCTACCTGAACTGATTAACGCCAACCCCACCTTAACATGTCTCTGTTTCACAACATATGTCATGAATACCGTGATAGCCAGCTATACACTCAGAGTCGAAGTCTTTCGACTGCACATAACCGATGCAGCGCTGTTCAGAGCTTGCACACAATGAAATGTGAAGGTCACTTACATCGGCCAATCAAATCCTCGCCCGCGAACCTTTATGGTCGCATTCAGTGTGTCTCTTCAGCCTCAACACGAGGTGTGGAGCTCCAAGACACGTAGTCAGGCTATGGTTTCATTATTGGATTACGTCTTCAATTCACAAAACCAAGGAGACGTTTGAAGTCATCGTGGCACCGAGGTAACGAAATGCAGGGAACTTCAGGCTGCACTGTGAATGGGTTTCATTCGATGCGACACTGTAAGAAAAGAAAAAGTACTCAGTGCTTATAGATGGTAATTAAAGTAGACGAGATTTTAAAAATAATTTATGGATAACTTCTTTATTATACTATTATACTGCAATAGCTACGTACATATATATATATATATATATATATATATCAGAATCAAATCTATCAACAGACAACTGGAAGACCACATGGAACTATGTGACAAAATCGATTTAATTTTCAAAACCTGAATTGATGACAAAGCAAACAGACGTGTATATACTACTCAAAAGAAGTCAAAGAACACCGGATTCTTCCATATTACTATAGTTAATATGTCTTGGCATGTGAGATTAACTATAGTAATATGAAAGAATTGGGTGTTCTTTAACTTCTTTTGAGTAGTATAGATAACTTCTATATTATATTGTAAAATCAACGTTTCAGTATAGATCATTATACCGAATTATATATCGTAGGTGAAAGATTAACAGTGACAACCATTATTCGTCAGAGGGATCAACGTGAGTAGGTTTATTAATAACAATTAACAGAAGGAAACTTTAGTAACATGGGCCATTACCGAAACGTCGCTATTACAGTATAATTATATAAGGAGAAGTTGTTATCCATAGAAACATTCGTCTACTTTGTCATCCGTCAACTTCTGAGAAAGACCTATCAAACAACGTATGGTCGGTTGCTGATACTTGTAGATTATCTACTTGAAAATGTCAATGTATGTCTTTATGTTTCTGGAAATACATTGTAGGATGACCCAAAGGAATACCATTTGACCAGATTATAGTTGGAAAAGCATTGTATTTATATACCTTATAACATTTGGCTATTTCTTCCTGAATTTGTGGACATATAGGGTTTAATTTGTTTTTTCTTTTTTTTGATAATAATAATAATCATATAATGCTATTTTAAGCTGATGATATTGCGTTTAAAGGATTTAATATTTTTACCTATAAACCCAAAACTGATGTAAATTGGTAAATTGTATTAGTCCTGATATATTGCCAAATTAACTGGTCAGTCTATTACAAATTCACTTTTCATGACAACCTTCACATAAAATGTAACTATTTCGGTTAAAATATTGCACAATTAACAGCTGAAATCTACTTATCCGGTCGTGTTTGGGAAGTTGTCTGTTGTAAGGCTATTTTGAATAGAGCCACTGAAATCTTATACTTTGTGGATATCTACACGTGTCTTTCATTAAATATAAAGTCTCAAATTCCTAATCTTCATGCTTGAGAAAAATATCTTTCCATTAACCATAACCCTGTTCTTGTAAGACTTCGATCAAATAAAGTAAAAAATACATACGGCAGTGCTTCAGTAGCTTTGTCTTCAGCACAGAGACGTCAGATGTTTGAAAGGGCATATATGTATGTAATTTAGAAAGTATTTGCCTGGTCTTTTTACATTATGTTTAAGTACGGCATTTCTTATACCCTGGAATGCGAGGAATGATGCCGCATAACTGTTTTTCTCAAATTCATCAAAATTACAGACCCTTCCATTTTCTTGCAAAATGTGTACATCATTTAAATATTTTTCAACCGCATTATACCAACATGTTACAAGATTAAATATTACTGTGAAATTATCTCCTCACTACTTGCCTTTAACAAATTTTCACGTTTTATATTGAGACACGTGCGATATTTCTGTACATCCTTCTAAGAGTTGTTGAAACAGTTGGAAAAAAACAGGATCGGTATGCCATATTCTATTTTTGTCTAATTTATGATATCACTTAAAGAAGAATAAAAAACATTAAACCACATACATAGCCCGTGAAGATCCGGGATAGAATAGGTCTTCAGCATCCCATGCTTGCCGTAAGAGGCGACTACCGGGATCGGGTGGGCAGGCTCGCTGACTTGGTTGATGCATGCCATCGATCTCAATTGCGTGGATCGATGCTCATGATATTAATCACTGGATTGTCTGATCAAGACTCGATTATTTACAGACCTCCGTCATATAGCTGGAATATTGCTGCTGAGTGCGGCGTTAAACAACAAACCAACCAACCAACAGTTTCTATGAAAGAGCATCGATTTGATTTGTAAGGAGGGGGGGGGGGGGGGGGTGATGATGTTTTCTAGAACGATCTATTTTGTTTACCATCAATATCCAGCATACTATTCAATTACAAACAATCTATTCATTTTTTACTATTTACACAAACTAAATTCACGTTTGGCTATTTTCCACAAGGCAAAGTATTCATTTTTTCACAAATGCCAACAAACTATTCTTTCGGGCAGTTGTCTGGACAAACTACTCATGTGAAAAACCTTCCTGTCTACCCCATAGAAATTAAATGGATGTAGACTTTTGTGGATTTTAGAAGACAAAGCATATGCTCTGCCGTCATGCTCATTACAGTGATAGACCCGTGAAGATCCGGTGTAGAATAGGTCTTCAGCAACTCATGCTTGCCGTAAGAGGCGACGATGCTCGTCGTAAGAGGCGACTAACGGGATCGGGTGGTCAGGCTCGCTGACTTGGTTGATCCCAATTGCGTGGATCGATGCTCATGATGTCAATCACTTGATTGTCTGGTCCAGACTCGATTATTTACAGACCGCCGTCATATAGCTGGAATATTGCTGAGTGCGGCGTTAAACAACAAACAAACAAACAAACACACATACATTACAGTGATATCAGGGACACACTTATGAATGTGTTAATTTTTACTGATCTTATCATCCCCGTAACTGATCTTTTGTGTTGCCGGAATTGCTCAAGTATTTTAGAACACAAGCGCAATGTTCATGTACAGTACACTACGGTTATAAAGAACTCGAGGGGATCACGAACTGTAGTTCGTTATAAGCATACATACAGCATATATACACGAAATGGTCGGGACTAAAACTAAATTCGTTATATCCGTCAGTTCGTTAAATGCGTGTTCGTTACAAACGTAGTTTACTGTATGTATAGAAAAATATGTTATGCACTGTATGTAATGTTTGGGAGTCAGACTTTCATAAACACTTCTGTCTATCTACATAATATAACGAGATGAGTAACAATGCTTACCATATCACTTTGCTTTCAGACACTATTTGTTTCTGGAAACAACTGATATCAAACAATTCTACATGAACTGACTTTCTTCCCTGTTTTCCAGGTTTAGTGGGATTTTCTGATTTTGAATTGAGTTTTTCAGGGGTTAGCGCGAACGCAGACCCCCACACATATAAATTACGTACTCGAGTCACCCGCATTTGGGGTGATCGCAGGGGTCAGCCAAACCGAGGTGCAATGGAAAGGCCTCGCCCTGGGAGGACCGCCTTGCGGATCACGGTAACCTCCCGTACCAGGTAAGTATGCTTGACCGAAGCCACAATTTAGTACTAATACTTGGTTGGATTATACTCACTTGAGGTGTTGCGGCATATATAGTGAATCCTGTATAAAAAGCATAGAGAGCAGTGAAAAACTTCACTTACGTAATTAAATAAACAAATTACCTTTGAACTTTGTGGTATTAAATGTTCAAATACCACTGTTCAGTGTGTGCATTAAGTCCTGTTTCTTTGGGTAAATAACTGGCACTTGCGTCAGACACAGCCCAAGTGTTCCGCCTAATCTCCTTACAGGGTTGAGAGGGGGCAAACATTCATTGAAGGATACGCGAGTCCGTGAAGCTTACAGCTGATATCCATCAACTTAACTAACTACACCAACTCAGGCTTAAGGCTCTGTCTTTTTTACGACGTATGTCATGCATACCGCGATGGTATAATCAGCATCGAAGTCTTTCCAGGGCACATAACTGAAGCGGCGCTGTTCAGAGCTTGCAGACAATGAAATATGGAAGCTCACTTACATCGGCCAATCAAATGCTAGCCCGCGAACCTCCCGGGTCGCATTGAGAGATTGTCTTCTCGTCAGCCTGAACACGAGGATGGCGGGGAAACACGTGTTAAAGCTCTGGGCTTAATTACTGATTTTGCCTATTCACTATATTTTAAATTCAGTAATATTTTATCCAAATGTTTGCCCAGGTCATAGAAACTAAAAAGGACGAACATATGAGAGAAAGAATGAATATCCCACGTGTAATTAAACAATACTCGAAAATGGAATGAACGAGCAACACTTTAACATAAGACTTTCTTATGAATTTCTTTTAATAACTAGAAACTTATGAGTCAAGAACAGGACCAAAATTGAATCGACACCTGTCAAAAAGGTAACCACAAACCAATATCGCAAATCATGGTGTCTGCCTTATGCGTCAAAATGTCACATTGAATACGCAGACTATCACCTGCATTAAGAGTATTAGTCCAGATTGGTTTTTGGTTTGGTTTGTTGTTTAACGCCGCACTCAGCAATATTCCAGCTTTATGACGGCGGTCTGTAAATAATCGAGTCTGGACCAGACAATCCAGTGATTGATATCATGAACATCGATCCACGCAATTGGGATACGATAACATGTATCAACCAAGTCAGCGAGCCTGACCACCCGATCCCGTTAGTCGCATTATACGACAAGCATAGTCGCCTTATACGACAAGCATGGGTTGCTGAAGACCTATTCTACCCCGGAATCTTCACGGGTCAGTTAAGAAAACAGTGTATTTTATGTGACTCTTCCGCCGTTGATGATGAGTTTCATTTAATTTTCCGCTGTGAAGCATTTCATTATTATACATTATTATATATACACCACAAAAGTATATAAAACTTCCAAACATACTTTTATATGAACGCCTATTTTGTACTTTCAATTTTAAAGAATAAATATGTTTGTCAAAATTTATCAGCAATATATTCAACAAGTTACAAACTCACAAATCATATCAGCCATTCTTATGTTATGGAAATGAATAACAAAGTTCTACTTGTGGGGGAGCCTTCTAAAAACAAAGTCAAACTAAGCCATTAGACGTTTTAAGTACTTTCTATTCTTTGAATTGGGTTATTCAGGGGTTAGCGCGAACGCAGACCCCCACACATATAAATTACGTACTCGAGTCACCCGCATTTGGGGTGATCGCAGGGGTCAGCCAAACCGAGGTGCAATGGAAAGGCCTCGCCCTGGGAGGACCGCCTTGCGGATCACGGTAACCTCCCGTACCAGGTAAGTATGCTTGAACGAAGCCACAATTTAGTACTAATACTTGCTTGGATTATTCTCACTTGAGGTGTTGCGGCATATATATTGAATCCTGCATAAACAGCATAGAGAGAAGTGAAAAACATAACCTACGTAATTAAATATACAAATTACCTTTGCACTTTGTGGTATTAAATGTTCAAATACCACTGTTCAGTGCGTGCATTAAGTCCTGTTTCTTTGGGTAAATAACTGGCACTTGCGTCAGACACAGTCCAAGTATTCCGCCTAATCTCCTTACAGGGTTGAAAGGGGGCAAACATTCATTGAAGGAGACGCGTGTCTGTGAAGCTTACAGCTGATATCCATCAACTTAACTAACTACACCAACTCCGGCTTAAGGGCTCTGTCTTTTTTACGACGTATGTCATGAATACCGCGATAGTCAGCTATATAATCAGCACCGAAGTCTTTCCAGGGCACTTAACTTAAGCGGCGCTGTTCAGAGCTTGCAGACAATGAAATATGGAAGCCAACTTACATGGGCCAATAAAATGCTAGCCCGCGAACCTCCCGGGTCGCATTGAGAGATTGTCTTCTCGTCAGTCTGAACACGAGGGTGGCGGGAAAGCACGTGATTAAGCTCTGGGCTTAATTACAGATTTTTACCTATTCACTATATTTTAAATTCAGTAATATTTTATTCAAATTTAAGCCCAGGTCATAAAAACTAAAAAGGACGAAAATATTATAGGAAGAATAAATATCCCACGTATAATTAAACAATACTCACAAATGGAATGAGAGAAAAAAAGTAAAAGGTGACTACGCTTGTCGTACGAGGCGATTAACGGGATCCCTAGTGCGTGGATTGATGCTCATGATGTCAATCACTGGGTTGTCTGGTCCAGACTCTTTTATTTACAGACTGTCGTCATATAGCTGGAATATTGCTGAGTGCGGCGTTAAACAATAACAATCAAACAAACAAACAATCCCCGGACCTTCCACTCTCCCGGCAGAAGCTCTATCCACTAGACCGCGGAGGCGGCTCCTTGTAAATGTGGAAATCTAACAGCCCGTTTTGCTGCAATATTGGTGCACATTAGCCATATAGAAGCGTGCTACAACACATGTTGAATGATAACCGGTACGGCAGATTAATCGATTTTTCAAATAAATCCAAGCCCATGAGCTAAATACGAGCAGTAACGGTACTGAGTCCGTTAGACTATACTTTTATTATTGATATACCTCAATTCACAAAACCATGGAAACATTTCCAGGACTTAATCAGCATTTCTATTACAACTTCATGTTGTTGTTTGTTTGTTGTTTAACGCCGCACTCAGCAATATTCCAGCTATATGACGGCAATCTTTAATAATCGAGCCTGGACCAGACAATCCAGTGATTGACATCATCAGCATCGATCCACGCAATTGGGATCGATGACATGCATCAACCAAGTCAGCGAGCCTGACCATCCAATCCCGTTGGTCGCCTCTTACCTTCAAGCATATATAGTCACCTTTTACGGCAAGCATGGGTTGCTGAAGACCTTTTGTACCCCGGATCTTCATCTTTATGGCTACTGACAGATACATATGATTGTTAAACTGCCCTGTAAACACAACACTGGTGGTACATAGTTCAGGCGGACTTCATCGAACTAAAATAAAAACTAGTTTTCAATCTTCACATTTTGTTCAAATCTGACAAAATAATCGGATAAAGAGAGGGTGGTATGGTTTTACCGTTTTAATACTCGCAACACGAGGACGCGGACTTAGGACGTACTTCGCAGGGCCCCGTTCCACAAAATGATCTTAGCTCTAAGTTGATCGTAACTCCCATTCTTTAACACTGGCTTACGACAATCGTAGCGCTAAGATCTCTTTGTAGAACGGGGCCCAGGACATTAAACGTCATACAAACATGAGTTAACAAAACGGTTTGTTGGTTGGTTTGTGGTTGTTTAACGCCGCACTCAGCATTATTCCAGCGGTCTGTTAATAATCGAGTCTGGACCAGACAATCCAGTGATTAATATCATGAGCATCGATCCACGTAATTGGGATCCATGACACGCATCAACCAAGTCAGCGAGCCTGACCACCCGATCCGAAAGTCGCCTTTTACGACAAGCATAGTCGCCTTATACGGCAAGCATGGGTTCCTGAAGACCTATTCTATCCCGGATCTTCACCGGTCAGTTTTATGTGACTCTTCCGCCGTTGAAGACGAGTTTCATTTTATTTTCCGTTGTGAAGCATTTCATTATTATAGATTATTATATATACACCACAAAAATATATAAAACTTCCAAACATACTTTTATATGAACGCCTATTTTGTACTTTAAATTTTAAAGAATAAATATGTTTGTCAAAATGTATCAGCAATATTTTCAACAAGTTACAAACTCACAAATCATATCAGCCATTCTTATGTTATGGAAATGAATAACAAAGTTCTACTTGTGGGGGCCTTCATGGAAACAATGTCAAGCCAAGCCATTTAACGTTTTAAATACTTTCTATTCTTTGTTTTGGGTTTTTCAGGGGTTAGCGCGAACGCAGACCCCCACACATATAAATTACGTACTCGAGTCACCCGCATTTGGGGTGATCGCAGGGGTCAGCCAAACCGAGGTGCAATGGAAAGGCCTCGCCCTGGGAGGACCGCCTTGCGGATCACGGTAACCTCCCGTACCAGGTAAGTATGCTTTACCGAAGCCACAATTTAGTACTAATACTTGGTTGTGATCAACTGAATTGTGGTGTCCAGGCAATACGGTAACATGTTATTTAAATAATGTGGATATGTTTGAAGTACGCTCTATTTAAATTAATTTGGAATAATATGTTGTTGAAATTGTGGCGAACAAGGTCTATCTCACCTGTCTACATATAATCGACAACTTGTATGTATTTCCTAATACACCTCAACTTCAAGCGGCGGACAATTCTGTTCTCCCGACACCACTCCTGGTTTCGCATCCTCACCAGGATATCATCCCCACCTTGTTACCCACACTGTTACGAGTTTGCGAAAGGTCATAGACATCAACCAATCAAATCGTATCTAAGGCGCCAGCCCGCGACAAACGAGCATCAGAGGTCGGTTGCGCGAACGGAGAGATACCTCGTTTGCGCAAAACAGAACAGCACACGTACCCATTATTAGTAAATCAAACAGCGACAACATAACAGCTCTTAGAACTTAAGCACCACAGGAAGCTCACAATCTCGAGTTTAGCTCCGAGCACAAGATGTTACATGAACAAATGATGTTACATTTCACAAGTGAGTGAGTGAGTGAGTGAATATTGCTTAACGCCGCATCAGCAATGTTGTAGCTATTCGCGGCGAACAATTCACAAGACATGTATAGATCTACAGATATAGCTTTCAAGATTTCACGATCTGTTTGTACCCATCACAGTTGTAAAGCTACACGCACAAAAACAACGGCACGTGGCAAAATAAAGCACACGACGAGAAGTGCCTTATGTCTTAATCAACAGCTATATCACTATGGCCTGCAAATAATATAGTCGTGGTCAAAATGGCATAGGTGAAATTGCAAGGCCAGCGGGCTTCTATGGTTTGGGTTTGGGTTTTTTCATTTGAAATATTTATTTGAACGGTTTATACATTATCCCCTTACCTTGTCGCGTGGATAGAGGTACCAGAGCAATTATTCCTGTAATAGACATTCATTTTCTTCCATTGCCTTATTGCTAGGGAAATATATTTATGTTCTCCAACAGACAACTGTAGATTTTACTGTCTGCTTTTCTCATGAACATATTCACAAATGAGCTGGGGTTTGTTTTGTTTTGTCAGCAATAATCCAGCTATATGACGGCGGTCTGTAAATAATCGAGTCTGGACCAGACAATAGTTCAGAACTTTGAGGCCAAGGCGATACTGGAGCAACGACCGTCTCAAATTTATGTTAAAGTAAAGGAGGTACAATCGACGGGACCCGTGAAGATCCGGGGTAGAACAGGTCTTCAGCAACCCATACTTGCCGTAAAAGGCGACTATGCTTGTCGTAAAAGGCGACTAACGGGATCGGGTGGTCAGGCTCGCTGACTTTGTTGACACATGTCATCGTATCCCAATTGCGTGGATCGATGCTCATGATGTCAATCACTGGATTGTCTGGTCCAGACTCGATTATTTTACAGACCCCCGTCATATAGCTGGAATATTGCTGAGTGCGGCGTTAAACAAACAAACAAACAATCGGCGGGGCGGTAAGATCATTTTGTGACATCCCGAAAAGCGAGCTTAGTGCCACCGCTATCTTAACTCCCATAAACAAACTCACTTCACTTACGATAGTCGTAGTTCTAAAATCTCTGATTATTTACCTTAGAATTTGATACCTCCGGAATCCGAATGTTCTGATTAAAACAACGAAAGTGCTCCATTATCCAAATCATTCTTATCAAAAATATTGCACACTTAACCTATAGAGGAAATCAAACACAAAATCCACCAGTCCTTTGTTTCTATTTAGTGTGTATTCTGGTGGAACCGTGAAGATCCGGGTTAGAATTGGTCTTCTAGTCGTATAATTGTCACCGTATCCCAATTGCGTAGGTCGATGCTCGATGTTGTGTACGGCGTACCACAAACAAACATATCCTCCAGTTGAGGTATATTTTTCATGTCATGTGGTAACCCCAGCGGTTATCCCGAAAATTCCATTGACAATCTCCCTGCTCGACCCTGGACTCGTCTCTTCGACAAAGACCCTGGCAAGAAAAATATTTACCCGCAACGCATCTTTCTTCTACCTTTCCTTCTTAAAAAGTCCCATATTCAGCAATTGGCGTATCATTTGTTGTCACAAAATACCAGCCGTACCAGAGTTGACTACCACCATACGTTTGACGAAGCGCGTGAAAGACCAAGCACGTGAAGTCCGTGCGCCACATTCGTGACGTGCACGTGATGTTCATGGAGAAAATAGTACCCAGTGGTTTTACAAACATTATTGACATATTGTGTGGTGTCAGTGTTATTTGGGTGAATTACGCTTGTGAAATTAACAACAAATGCTTTTATCCCAAATGTAAGTGGCAAACATACATCCCTTTACACTGATTTGGAGAAAGGTATTATCGAGACTGATTGTTTTCGGTTCAATGAAGTCATCTTATCACAATTTAACCTGCAGTTACAAAACAATTCTGAAACTCGCGCTTATTCTGGAACGGGCAGCGACGAACAGAAACTCCAGTGTTGAAAATTCAACTTGTAATTGCTCAGCGAAGGAAGGGAGGTAACTCATGTTACCTTATTTTAACAACATGAAACTCTGCATCCATTTACCGTTAGATGAAAACAATGCATTGGAGAGCTGATAGTTAGGGCGATTTCGGCTGTTAATTATTTAAAGATCCATAACTAACACGCGTCCATGATTTATTAATCCGAAATATTGTTTGTACGGACGATTAAAGGTATTTCACTAGTTCATTCGCACATTAGGATGCCTTCTCTTTGAAAGAGGCCATTTGGATCAAAATAACGTTTTAACAGAATTTTCGTCAGTGGAAGTCTAAAGAGCATTAGTTTCCCAGTTTATTGTATATTTGTCGTAAGAGGCGACGAAATTGGCGCGGTGATTTCCCTCTCGTCACCTCCTTTATTATCTCAGTTAAAAACTAAGAAAGAGACCCGTGAAGATCCGGGGTAGAACAGGTCTTCAGCAACCCATGCTTGCCGTAAAAGGCGACTATGCTTGTCGTAAGAGGCGACTAAATGGATCGGGTGGTCAGGCTCGCTGACTTGGTTGATACATGTCATCGATCCCAAATGCGTGGATCGATACTCATGATATCAATCACTGGATTGTCTGGTCCAGACTCGATTAGTCATATAGCTGGAATATTGCTGAGTGCGGCGTTAAACAGCAAACAAAAGAAAGAGAGTAAAATGGAATCTCACTGTAGGATGTGGCTGTAATGTTTTGGTTTGGTTTGTTGTTTAACGCCGCACTCAGCAACATTCCAGCTGTATGTCGTCAGTCTCTAAATGTGGACCAACAATCCAGTGATTGACATTTTGAGCATCGATCTACGCAATTGGGATACGATGACATGCAACAAGTAAGCCAGCAAGCCTGACTATCTGATCCTGTCCGTCGCTTCTTACGAAAAGTAAGGGTTGCTGAAGACCTATTCTAACCCGGATCTTCACGGGTGGGCTGTAATGAGAATGTACACCTTCTAGCGCCTCAGCTTGGTTTGTATACTCCCAAGGGAGCTGAGAAATCATCATTATTATTATTGTTGCTGTTGTTGTTGTTGTTGTTGTTGTAGTAGCTGCATGCATGTTTCGATAATTCGGATATTTATTTTTATTCTGACCAGTGGGGATTTGGGGTAGAATTGTGCCCAGCACCCTATTGCAAGTCAGAACAGACAACTCCACTGGGAAGCCGTGAGGAGTCCAGACCGGCCCAGTCGTCTAAGGCGCCGCGATTCGGTGTGCAGAGTTGCGTCCCTTGGGCACGCCAGGAACCTATGCTGAGAGGCGATATGATGGATCGGGTGGTAAGGCTCCAGGACGTGGCTGGTGGGGTTGCATAGTGCCCCGAAGGGGCGGATCGCTGCATCAATCACAGGATTGTCTGGTCCAGACTCAATTATTTATAGACCGACGTCATGTAGCTGAAATGTTGCTGAATGCTGCAACACACACACACACACACACACACACACACACACACACACACACACACACAGAAGAGGTGAAGTGATGTGATTTGAAATGGAGTTTAACGTCCCGTTCAAGATTATATCGCATTTATATAGCTCCCCGGGCAAACGCTCCTCACGTGACGTCCATTGAACAAATCAGTATCATGACTGAATACCCTTGGCAATATTTCATGGAACAACTCATATTTTCACAAATCTTGACTTTTTAAAGACAGAAGACACTTAAAGCTTACTCTCTCAATCCTGTAACCACCCCGTTCGAATGGTCTTCTGCAACCCGTGCTTGTTGTCAGAGGCGACTAACGGGATCGGGTGTGTGTGTGTTAGTTTAAAATGGTCTTGTTTGATGCATGCCATATTATCCAAATGGCGTAGAACGTTGATCTTGATATCAATCACTGGTCCACACTCGATTATTTACAGACCGCCATCATATAGCCGGAATATTGCTGTGTGTGGCGTTAAACAATAACAAACAAACAAACAATCACCGCTCGCGAGATTATGCCACTTGTGCAACCTAGGTAGTCTGTCATACAGACCCTGAAACACATATATCCAATACAGCCCATGCAAGTCTATAATGTTTTGCAAGTCTAGATTACTGCAGTCAGGGTCTGTACAAATCTGCCGAATTCACAAGCGAGCACGGAGTTTGTAATTATCAGCCAATCTCTATACCTGCCATTAATGTTTAGTATTAGCAAATGGTGAGCCTCCCCCACCACTCCCAAAGACCCCACTCTGGCCAGGCAACATGTGGGATTACGGTTGAGACCTGGTGACATATAAATCTGAAAAAGAAGAAAGTCTCAGGGCCCTTTTTAATTATATTTTATAACTATAATTCAGCAACTGGTCTTTCTGTAAAATATGTTCATTTCAGAGACTAGATGCTAGTCTGAATGAAGACGGTATCTGGGCTCCTTTTTATTATATTCTATAACTATAATTTAGCAACTGTTTTTTTCTTCTGGAAAATATGTTCATTACAGAGACTAGATGTTAGTCTACAACCTAAGATCAAGGCGACCCAATGGATCGGATGACCCGTGAAGATCCGGGCTAGAATAGGTCTACAGTAATCCATGCTTGCCGTGAAAGATGACTATATCCTTGTCGTACGAGGCGACTAACGGGATCAGATGGTCAGGCTCGCTAACTTGGTTTATAATGTCAATCACTGGATTGTCTGGTCCAGACTCGATTATTTACAGATCACCGTCATAATTATAGCTGGAATATTGCAACAAACAAACAAACAATGGATCGGGTGGTCAGGCTCTGTGAACAGTAGACTGGGGAAATGATGCACTTGGGGATGAGGAAGAAACTCTGCGAGACCCATCGTTATTATACCGTGACAAACCCTCAGTCACTCTCTGGATACAAATTGCAAACCCAGGAAAATATTTAAATGAAGTATTGATATTAGTCATCGTTTGGGATGTTTTTGAAAGTCGACATGTTTGTCAAACAATATATCGAGTCAGATATCTTCTAATCAAACCTTCACTTGTTCAGTCAATAGTCAGATTTATGTAATCCAAAGATATTTTTGTAAAACAATAACGCACGTGTTATCTGACGAGAAAGAAAACAGGCTAAGAAGGAATGAGCTCGACTGCAAAGCAATGGGATGAGTTCTGCAATTTAGACCGAACATTTGAAATTTGTAGAGCGTCTTGTATTGATTGAGTGCCGCGGCTTGAGCGTGGAATCTTGATTGAAACGACCTGCCGGGGACTTTTTGAAGATATAATGTTGTTTTACAATGATTTGATTGCACAACTTGTGTCACTGCACACTCGGATTTAATTTTGCTGAATTTAGTCAAATTGACACAAACGTGAACAAGTTCACAAGAGTGTCCTTCACCTCTGTTCGCCAGCTGTTTCCAACGTTCAAGTGATGTCAAGCCGCTGAATCGTGCTATGCCGAGTCAGCACAAGAACACAACAAATAAATACTCGAGCACGATGTAGACAAAAACAATGGTTGATAGAAAGGGCAACGATCAACGCCGTCAGGGTACATGGGACATTTGTAACCACCTGATCCTGATTTAAGTCGGCGCTAACGAAAAGCAAGACATTCGGCGATCTCGTTCAGCTCTTGAATCCCTATTGGGAGTGGGTGGGCTTATATTGTCGATGCGCCACAGTAGCAGGCTCTGCTGTTGAATATGTGAATATGAAAGTGCCTGTCTAAAGGACAAACCATTTAATATTCTACGGGGTTATTTTTGTTGGGGACAATATTTTTTTCTGATCTAATTTTGCTATTCTCAGAGTTTTTCATGGGTATGTGTAGGGTTCTTAAAAAACTACAAATTTTATGAACGAGCTGACTGATAGATATGAACTTGGAAAAAACAATATATATATGCTTCAACCAAAGTCTGCAAAACAAATTTTATACAAACTAGGCTGTGTACCATATGTTCTATTTCAAACAGCAAAAGTGTCTTTTCATACTTAAAATGTAGGCTCGCTGACATGGTTTATGACATGTCCTCGATCCCAATTGCGTGGATCGATGGTCATATCGTCAATCACTGAATTGTCTGGTCCAGACTCGATTACTTACAGACCGCGCTCACATAGCTCGAGTATTGCTAAGTGCGGCGTTAAACAACGAACAAACAAACGTATTGTTGAAATACGCCCAGAAGTGATAGTGAGTACCCTGTGTCGCCAGGTATACGCCCTGGAGTGGTAGTGAGTACCCTGTGTCGCCAGGTATACGCCCTGGAGTGGTAGTGAGTACCCTGTGTCGCCAGGTATACGCCCTGGAGTGGTAGTGAGTACCCTGATGTGTGGCCAGGTATACGCCCTGGGGTGGTAGTGAGTACCCTGATGTGTGGCCAGGTATACGCCCTGGGGTGGTAGTGAGTACCCTGTGTCGCCAGGTATACGCCCTGGAGTGGTAGTGAGTACCCTGATGTGTGGCCAGGTATACGCCCTGGGGTGGTAGTGAGTACCCTGATGTGTCGCCAGGTATACGCCCTGGGGTGGTAGTGAGTACCCTGGTGTGTCGCCAGGTATACGCCCTGAGGAGGTAGTGAGCACCTTGTGTCGCCAGGTATACGCCCCGAGGTGGTAGTGAGTACCCTGATGTGTCGCCAGGTATACGCCCCGAGGTGGTAGTGAATA